GGGCGGGGGGCAGGGCGGGCCGCCCAGGTCAGCCCACACCTCCGGCCAGCCGGAGCCCTGAGGTGAACCAGCTGTTTGCTGAACTACTTGATTCACTGTAACTAACTCAGTGATTCAATGTAACTGACTCAGTGATTCAATGTAACTGACTCAGTGATTCAATGTAACTGACTCAGTGATATAATGTAACTAACTCAGTGATTCAATGTAACTGACTCAGTGATATAACGTAACTGACTCAGTGATATAATGTAACTGACTCAGTGATTCAATGTAACTGACTCAGTGATATAATGTAACTGACTCAGTGCCACGGAGGCCGACCCCCAGCTGAAAGAGCCTCTTTCTGCTTCGAGTTTGGAAAGACTCGGGAGAGGCGAGTCAGTGAAAACTGGCTGAACTGGGTGAGGGTGAGAATCATTAAACTACAAGTGGCTGAGGAAAAAAGCTAAAAATGCAGAAGAACTGTGTCCTCTTGTTGCTACTTAGGCGTTTTTAGGTTCTCACCCCTCAGGGAGACAGAGAGGAAACTGTGGGTGCAGCTTATGCAGGAAAGAGGGCCCCCCAAGCTGCCTCCCATGCCCAGGAGAGCCCTGTCCTGTCCTATGGATACACATCGTGTTTGTTTAAATGTTTCCCTTTGCTGTGACCCAGCCCTCCACGCCCTCCAGCCCAGCTCTGCCTTCTCCGTGAACCCCCGTCACTGGGCCCCTGCATCGTGTGGGCAGCAGGCGCTGTCCCTGTTTGCCTCACAGACAGGTGCTTTGGGAAAAGCCACGATAATCAGGTGTCTGCCACCCGCCCAAGTTTGAGAACCTGGGACTCGGGCTACTGGTTCCCAGCTTGGGGTCTTCAGAAAGGAATCTTTGCATCATTTCCAAGAAAGTAAACTTGGAGCTGTTTGCAGTGTTTGCAAAGCCTGATGGAGACCCCACAGCTCCCGCCTCCCAGCCACGAGCTCCCCGACCTCAGCTTAACCACGAGCCCCTACCTTCCGGCCACGAGCTCCCAGCTCCCAGCTCCCAGCTCCCACCGTACCAGGCGGCCGGCTGGCCAGACCCCGGTGGTTGTACGCTCACCTGCAACCCGCCTGGAGCTGGGCAGGCCTCAGGGTATGGAGGAAATGGGGCAGCACGGGCTCGCTCGGCAAGTACATGGACACACGTGTCATACATGCACATACAGAGAGCACGTGTGTATACATGTTTATATCACACAGTGATAAACGCATACACCACATGCGCACACACACATATTGCACAAGCGTGATATACAAACACATGTGCAGAGAGCGCGTCTGAGCGGGTGCACGGGGAGGTGGCAGCCAGGCCGGGGGCGTCTGATAGGTGGGTCCTCATAGCCTGTGACCCCCCTAGTGTCTCTGCATCCACTGCGCCCACCTTTTGTATGACGCGAGATGACCCAAATTCATGATGAACTGAGAAAACCTGAGACCCTTCCTCCCCAGACCCGCACGACCTCGGGGAACGGCCTGCGTACCATCTTGTTGGCATTCTGAATCTTCATTCTCTGCAGCAGCGAGGTGTCCTTGGCTTTCAGCAGCAGGACGCAGCTCTGGATGAAGTCACAGTAAGCAAACCTCCCCGTGCCCTTGAGGTCGTACTTCACGGCGAGCTGCTGGCTCTCCTCCCTGCTGAGGTCCAGGTTGAATTTCTCCACCAGAGCTTAAGACACAAGTGCCCGTTCAGTAGGGGGCAAGCGCCCACTTGTTCGCTCGCTCACTCAGCACTTGCTGGGGCGCCTCTCTGCTTTAGGCCCTTGTTTCACAGGCTCATGCTTGGTGGGTGGACAGATGTGGAAACGGGTGTGCGCACGGCAACTAAGCTGCGTAAGGAGGGAGGGGGCCCCGCATCCTGCTGGCCCGCCGCCGCTGCGGTCACAGCGGTGTGGACGGAGTGCTGTGGGAGCTACGGCCGGGGAGCGGGCGGGGAGAGCAGAGGCGGGGGCGTCCCAGTGAGGGGTCTGTCAGAGCCGGGCCGGTGAGGGGGCGGGGCGGCTCCGGGTGCCGGGGTGGGCCTGGGACTCGCACTGGGCCTCCGACTGAGAATTTCTCAACTGGGCTTCAGAGGCGCCCTCTCAGGAGTCCGCCAGGCTTACGAGTCGACACACTGAGTTTCATGCCAGTGGAGATGGCAAATGTCTAAACCTATTCTGCTGAAGCCATGCAGGGTCAGGGCTGAAGTCTGCTTTCTGACCAGGACCACGTTAGTGCCATGTTGATGCCACCTCAGTGGTCCTCCCAGCCCGAGGCCGGCACGTGCTGGTGTCAGATTCCCGGCCCCACTCTGCGCCGGCTCTCGCCCTCAACTCTCATCAGTTACAAAGCCCGAGCTGCTTGTGCAGTGACAGCTCATTATTAAGAGACTCAGGTGGGCCCGGCCGGGCGTGGCTCAACGGTTGAGCGTTGACCTGGGATCCAGGAGGTCGCGGTTCGATTCCCGGTCAGGGCACAGGCCCGGGCTGCGGGCTCCATCCCCAGGCGGGGGCGTGCAGGAGGCAGCCGATCACTGACTCTCTCATCACTTTTGTTTCTCCCTCTCTCTCCGAAATCAATAAAGATATAGTAAAAAAAAAAAACAAACTTAAGTAATTTTAAACACTTTGCTGACCAAAGTAGCTCGCCACACGGGCGGGTTCTGGCTTGAAACAGCCAGTCAGCAAGACGTAATACTGGAGGTTCCCAAGAAAAACACTTTCCTAAGAAGGGGTCTAGACATTAGTCAAGAAGAGGGGAGCTGGGGAGGCTTTAAGCAGAGGAGTGACAGGGTCAGGTTTATTTCCTGGAATTAAAATGCTGCACAGACACTAAGTATAAACCAAACTGGCTTAATTTGAAAAGTTTATCAAAGTGGCACACAGTGAACCAACGTGAGCTGGGGGGGGCAGCCTGCGTGTTCTCCGCCTGTCCCACCCCCTCACTATCAGTCTGTTGACAGGTACAGCTGCCCAGAGACCGAGGCCAAGTCTGTGCCCTGACACTGGAAGTCACGTGGGTGTGGACAGCTCAGCGGGGGTCGAGGTGGGTCAGGCCCCTGCCCCTCCACACTAGTGCTTATCACGTTGCTCAGCCCGCATGGCCACCCGGTGCTCCCTGTCCTATTGCGCCCTGTCATCCACCGAGGGAAGGGGCTTGTGCCCGGAGGCGACACTCTATCACCCCGGGAACTGGGCCAGAACGAACCCAGGAACTCAGCTGTGGTGATGTCGCCCTGCTTCTGCACGTCGCGCTCCTTGCACTCCCTCAGAAACACCCGCCAGCAGCCCTGGATCCTCTTGCGCAGCTTGCTCTCGATGGGCTCGCAGTTCTGCAGCAGCTGGGAGCCCAGCACGGTGCCCGAGCTGCTGGCGGTCTGAACAGAGAGAGAACTGTCTTGTCACTGAGATTTGAAATGCAAGGAATGACATCAACCCACAGATACATGACTCAGGCTCCGAGATTCCCAGGTTCACCGGTGGTATCATCTCAGAAATAAAACAGAAAGCAAAACTGAGGTGGTGATTTTACCGTTTCACTTCTGTTTGCAGTGGTGGGCCGTATTTGTGCCAAATCATAATAACTAAGGTAGTTCTGGAAATAAATACGTAGCCAAGATTCAGAGAGAGATGCCAATTCAACATGTCACTGCTGTGTGTGCGCAGGTGTGCACGTGTGCGTGTCATGTTGTGCGTGCAGGTGTGTCTGCACATGCGTGCATGTGTTGTGTGTGCATGTGTGTGCATGTATGTGTGTGTGCATGTGTGTGTGTGAAGTGACAATGACATTTTTCACCAGAGGAAGTCATATGAGAGCGAGGGACCCACGTGTCATTTCCCGGGATGCTCACCTGTGCTCAGCCCAGAGTATGCGGCACCTTGAAATTCTGTAGACCAAGCACGAGGCTGCCTTGTATTTCCCACTTAGAAACGGAATGAATGACTGCGGCCCCGACGTCCCCTGAATGCCTGCTCGACGTGCAAGGCTGCCTAATGCGGCGACGTGCTCGGCTGAACCCTGGTCTCTGTGCCCTCCTGAATCCTGCCTGTGCCCCCCTCTCGGCCAACGACAAGGCCCCTCCCGCTGCTCAGGCCAGAAGTGTTGATGCCCCCGGGCTCCCCTGCCTCCCTCTCAGCCCCACACCCGGCGGGCTGGGACGTCCTGGGGGCTGTGCTCAAGGATGCCCCCGGTGTCTGACGCGGGCCTCCCGCTCCCTGGTCACGTCGCTGAGCCGGCAGCCCTCTCCCCGG